GCCACCATGCCCAGCTAATGTTTTGTATTTTTAGTAGAGACGGGGTTTCACCATGTTGACCAGGATGGTCTCGATCTCTTGACCTCGTGATCCACCTGCCTCGGCCTCCCAAAGTGCTGAGATTACAGGCTTGAGCCACCGTGCCCGGCCTCTGGTTTTCTTCATACATCTCTGGCCAGTCCCACTTTCCCTCTTTCACCATTGCAAAGACAGACAAATATTAGAGTTTCTCAACTCTCCATCCAAGTCTGTCTTCTCCATCCATGATGATGTGAAAATTTGTCTCTCCTGTCCAGATCTGTTTTTCAAGCTCATGCATACAAGTGTTTAAGTGATATAGCTTCTTGTATGTCTCAAAGCACCCCAAAATCAACAGATCTGAATTCAAACTGGTGATTGTCGCCTCCCATCTCATCAATTCTCTCCAAATATTTCCTATGTAAGTGAATGATATGCCATCCATCCAATTGCTCAAACTAGAAAGCTAGGAGTCACCGTCTCTCCTTGATACTCCATTCCCAGTTCTGCAATTCTACCTTACAATGCTTTTCCATCTACCCCTCTCTTTTCATTTCCACCTTTCTTCCTCTAGTTATTGGAATCATTATGTTTAACTAATGTCAAGTTTTCTGTATATTTTACCAGCATTCATCTTGCCTCTTTCCAATTTATCAATCATTTGAGGTGATGGTGTAATAGGTCATTTGAACTAATACCACTGCTGAGAGGAAAAGTAAATGCAGAGAGATGAACCTGGCATTTAGAGCCATGCCTACAGGCATCTACTGAATGCAAGGGAGGCTGAGGACTTCAGAAGAATTTTTGACAGACTCTTAAAGCTAGAAGTATAAAATTTGGAGTCTGGGACACTCCCACATCCCTTGTTCATGAGGGAAGTTCTGATAAACCCCTTAGGTTTTAGATCGGGACCCTAAATAGGTACATCTCAGGAGAAGGGCAAACTGGAAGGAAACCAATGGTCCCAGGGCCTGTCTGGAGATCATCTCGAGTCCTGATCAGATTGCATTAATTTTTGATTGCTGGTAATCACAGCCACCCAAGAGAAACAAACAAATCCTCTCTGGAAAAAAAAATTTAAAAAATGACATCACCATAGGCCTCAGATTTTCACCACATTTTAAAATATACAAATCTGATCATGTCACCTTCTGCCCCAGCCTTGCTAGCCTTCTTTTAGACATTGTATTCACCATGCTGTTCCTCAATGAGGGGTTTAACACGTATCATATCCATGGCCAGAAATGCCAACTTTCCTCTTTACATAGTAAACTTTCATTCAGTCTCCAGGTCTCCACTCAGCTTCACTCCCTAAAAAAAGACTTCCTGGGCTACCCTACCTCAAATACCACAATTAGGAGTTCTCGCAGTGCTTTGAACTTTATCTTTGAGGTAAATTGCATCCTGCCAACTTTTTATGTTCAAGTCCTAACCCTCAGTACTGCAAAATGTGACCTTATTTGGAGATAGGATCTTAATGTAGGTAATCAAGATGATATCATTAGTGTAGTCCTTAGTCCAGTATGACTGATGTCTTTTTACAAAGGGGAATCAGACATGCACTGAGGAAAGATGATGTGAAGAGACACAGAGAGAAGCCTTTCATCTACAAGCCATGGAGAGGGACCTGAAACAGATCTTTCCCTCACAGTTCTCTGAAGGAACCAACTCTGCCGACACCTTGATTTTGGACATTTAGCACCAGAACTGTGAGACAATACATTTCTGTTTCTTGAGCTACCCAGTTTGTGGTCATGTATTTTGGCAAGCCTAGCAAACTAATACAAAGAGCTTACAACAATGGAAAGTTTACATCTTTAGAGTGATTCAGTAATCGATATCTGTCTATCCTTGTAAGCTGTCAACAGGTTTTGCTCACTATTTTATTCCTAGCATCTACCATTGCTTTTGTAACATAGTAAGTGCTTCATATATATTTGTTGAGTGTATAAATAATAGTAGAGATTAAATTTTTAGATAAAGTTTGTAACCGAGCAAAGCCAAAATTTATTGGGTGCCTACTAAATATAACTTAATCTGCTAAATTTTAGGGACTCAAAGATTACCAAGATAAGTCCTTGTGCCCAATAAACACCCTATTTAGTAAAAAGAGACAAACAAAAATTTGCAGATTCTTTTATATTCTTTGAATTTCTAACATGGATTGTTTAAAAATATATAATAAATTTAATCACAAATCATCTACATATACTTTAGAAATAATTATGTGTTTAAGTAATATAATTTTATCCTATTTACTCAAAGTTTTGTATGCATGTTATTTCACAGACCCCTTGCAAAATAGCCCTGGGATCACAGGTGAAAATTAATGTAAAAAACAAAAAGAAGAAATGAAGTCCTAGAAAACACACATGAAAGAAATTAATTTTGCCTTGACGAATGTGGCAAATTGTATTTTTCAAAGATGGTCACGTTGATACCCCTTATCCTACATGCTCTTCTCCAGTGTGATCTTGACACTCCTTCATCAACACATGGGGTTTATTTCCACAATCTCTTAAATCTAGAAGGACCTGTGAGAGCTTTGATGAAAAAAAAAAAAGATGCAGTAGAAGTTACCCTTGAGCCATTTTTAAGCATAGTCCTTAACTGTCCCGAAGCTTCTGCTTCTTTGTTTTAGGAAGTCAATTATCACAAAAGACAACAGGGTCAGGAGAGTTGGAATGAAGCCACAGGAAGTTCATTCATTAGGATGGTACAAAAGTAATTGCAGTTTTTACCATTAATCGCAATTACTTTTGCATAAACCTAATATAAATGAGTCTCTCTTACTGAGAAAACAGGTAGGGAGAAAGGCAAGTAGGACATGAAGCCTACAATCTAAACAACAAGTGATCAGTGAAAATATAATGTAGTGAAATGGCCTAAAAGGAGAGAAACTGGGATTTAGAAGCAAGAAATCCACTCATCCATCTCCTAAAA